CTGCTCAGAGCAGGAGAGGAAGCCCAGCCTCACCATCCAGCTTTGAGACTTTGGGCAAGTCCCCCACCCACTCTGCCTGCCCCTCAGTGTCCCTGCTGGTCAAAGAGCCCTGAAAATGACCCACCTCCAATGACTTCTGGGGACAACGTGACAATGAACATTAGAATGCTTGGGGTGTTAAAAGCAGGGAGCAGATGACACGTGGTCATGTCCCTAGGGTTGATTTTCCTCTCACGGTGCGACAGATGGATCTAATTCTCTTCAACAATGAAGCACGTGGAGCTTTCTCCCTGGGCTCTTGCAGAAACAGGAAATGAACATGAGAATCTTCAAAGTTTGCAAAACTGCACGGCCTGTAATGAATCTCTAGCAATTATCAGGGGCAGATAGCCTAAAAAGGTCTTATTATGTATTTCCCTCTGGTGATAAAACTCTAATCTGTTCTATGTTTCATCTTCAAGGACCAAAGGCAGCTTACAGCCAGCCCCAAGCTTGTTTAAAGGACAGCCGTGTTCCTGGGGGTAACCACTTTGCCCTTCATCAGGATGAGTCCTGACGCAGAAGCCGGGTTGCCTAGCTCAGGTAAGACAGCACAGAACGTTTTCTGGATTCAACTGATTCTGTTAAACCTCGTAGTTCAATGCAGTTCATTGATTGCTATCGATTTAACCAGTTGGGCTGGAAAATATATACGTTTATGATTAGTTTTTGGAAGTAGGGGTATTGGTGATGCTGTGGGGTAGTTAATGTCTCAGATAGAAGAGGTGTGAACACTTGAACTTTTTTTTTAAACTTTTCTTTGCATTTATTTTGTGCTGAAATTATTCCTGCACTGTAAGTTTTTGTTTCTTCAGTTTCTTCTGGGATATCTTATTTCTTCTGTGCAACAATCTGCCCTTTTTCAGTAGGGCTCACCAGAAGGAGTTCGCATGGAGTTTAATCTGACCACAAGCTCTGTAAACCCGGAGCACATCTTGGGGTTTTTTTTTCCCCAGATGAGCTCATTGGCCAGAGAGAATCAACGTCAGAACACTTAAGTTCAGGATTCCTCTCTGCATTTTTTAAAGCATTTGCAGCAAAAACTCAGCACTTTGTTTGGGGCCAGTGACTCCATGCCAGCCCCAGGGTTTGGCCTGGACAGTCCACTACTGTGACAATGGAGTGGTATGCATTGCTTCTGTCTAATGACATCTTTCAGAGACTTGGTGGCTTTTCAGAGATGCCTACTTTGATGGTCTGGGCAGTGAACAGGGAGATTTGAATCTCTCAACTGGCATGATTTTGTGGGTTTTCTGGTTCATGTGAGTCGCGAACCATTTTCAGAGATCATCTCAGGCTATTTATGAGAATTTGAATGTAATTTTTGCATTCTGCTATGAATGATGACTGTCAAGTAAAAAAGTCAGGAAAACAGAGGACAGCTGGATGGTGGGTTGGACAAGGAAATGGCTGGGAGCAGTTTTCCGGTCTTAGACTTTGTAGGACTGGAGCGCCTTCACTCGGCTTCTCCATCTGGGCAGCAGGAGGCGCTGGCTTCCCTGTGCCAGAGGGTGTTTGATAGACCCGGTGCTTCTCCCCGTGGTACCTGCTTTATACAAAGACTTGAGACAAAAAGTCCATTCCTAGCATATGAGAGCAGACCAGCTATGTCGCAGAGCGGCAGGCAAACGGGATGATATTTGAGACGTGCCCCCCGAGGGATGTCCCCTTGCCCAGGTAGCTCTGGGCTCTGCCATCAGTGCCGGTGGCTTGTGGAAGAGGCTGGGGAGCATGTGGTTACCTGGCTCATCCAGGAACCTCCACCTGGGCCCCCACACCTGCACTACACCTGCCCCGTAGAACCCCTTGCTCTGTCTCTCCCTGCTAAACTGCTGAATAGTGCTGTCTGGCGAGACCTCTGCCTTGTTGAAAGTGTGATCTCCATAAACATTTGAAGAACGATGAATGAATGAATGAATGAATGAGAAGTTGGTATTCCCAGTTTGTGGCCAAGCAGGCAGCTAAAATTTCTTTTTAGAAGGGAAAAAAATCAAGAGAGGGTTTGGCCTGACCTGGGGGTATTCCCTAAAAGAAGCTGAGAGGGAGGAAACTAAAAACCATCCTTTCTAAACACATTTCCTGATGTGACTGCTCACAATCACAGAAGGAATGTCTTCTGAAAATCCTGATGCTGCAGAGAAACCAAGTTGATCAGTGACTGTCATTTGTCCTCATTTTCCAAGTCTAAATTGAAAGGGAATTGTTGATTGATTTAGTTCTGCCTGTTGCCCTTTTCATTAGTAAGGCAGAGTAAATAATTACCCTCTTTGATTTTTCCAGTGGCATCAGCCCTGTGTGCTCCTGACAATAAGGAAATATTAATTGAGAGTGAGAAATAGAGTCGTTAAACAATAAAACTAAATAATTATGGTAGGTGAAGGACATCATGCCTTTAGTACATCAATATGTTGCAGCTGAATTATCAAAGAAACTTCCCCTCCAATTCCCAGCAGAACTGTGCTGTGTCGTAAGGCCATGTAAGGAGAACCTTAGTTCTCTTGGCATCACATCCTGGTCTGGATGCTCCCCAAGCTTGTGCTGTGTCTGGGTTGCTTTGGGGCCATTAGCCCTGTCCATGCCCTTTGTGGGAGATACTTAATCGAACAGAGTTGGATCAGTAAGTTTCCTGGGTACCAATTCCGGTTTTGCCCTGATTTTTCTCTGTGGCTTTAAGCCAAACGGGAAAACTTGTCTGCCTTTTAGTTTTCCCATTTGGCAAATGAAGAAGACATTATCTCTCTGCCAAATGTCTCAACACCTGAATACAAAGAAACTTTAGACAGGAGGGGTTATTAATAGTGTATCTGATGTGTTTCTGTGCATGCGGGGGGCGGGGCGGGTACATTTCAGTCCTGGGGCACCAGGGAGACTTGCCAGAGAATCCTGACCCTTGCAGTGCAGAGTTCCCTTCTCCAGCTGCCTCTGGGGCCTGGTTTAAATGTATCTGCCTTTCAGTCATCCTAAGTACTGCATGGATTAGTTCGGTGCGAGGATATGACCTCCCCCATCTTATTGCCACTCTTGGCAGATAATCCAGCTCCCATTTTACCAAGAAGACTGAGGCTAATTTGGATGAACTGAACTCGCTCATCCTTCTCATTCTCATGTTGATGTATCTCCGTCTCTGCGGTTGTCTCTCAGCTTCAGACAAAAAAGGAGTGGATGGCATTTCTCTCCTCCCCTCCTCCAGAGCTAACCCTGTCCCCAGCCTGTGCCCTTGACCCCTCCCTTCATCTCTTCCCATTCCACTTTTCACTGCCTGCACTAGACACATCTTAGGTCTTCCTTGCAACTGTTTTCAAACATGCCCAAGCTTTATTCTATTTTAAAATCACACAACAAAGCCGAAATGCCTGTCTTGACCTTGCTCCCTCTTCTAGTCTATTTATTACCTTCCCTTTGCAGCAAGTCTCCATTTCCTCTTTGCACAGAGCCCCTGAGCTCAGCAGTCTAGTTTCCTTTCTTGATTGAAATTGCAATCTCAGAGGTCACCCAGGGTGCCCTTGTGTGCCCAATCCAAAGAGGGTTTTGTTTTAGCCTCATTCTTTATTTTATTTCGCAGGGGGGTTAGGTAATTAGGTTTATTTACTTATTTATTTTTAAGTGGAGGTACTGGGGATTGAACCCAGGACCTCCTGCAAGCTAAGCCCACATTCTACCACTGAGCTATATCCTTCCCACATTCTTCTTTTTTTAAAAATTGAATTGAATTTTTTCTAAATTTTTAAATTGAAATACAGTTGCTGTAAAACACTATATAAGTTACAGATGTACACTATGGTGATTCACAATTTCTAAAGATTCTACCCCATTTATAGTTATTATAAAATATTGGCTATATTCCCAGTGTTGTGCAATCTGTCCTTGTAGAGTATTTTAAACCTAATGGTTTGTACCTCTTAACCCTCTACCCTTATATTGTTCTAGCCTCATTCTTGTTTTCTCAGGGCATTGGTTTTCTCTCCTGCTTTTTCCTTCCAACATTCCACTCCAACATACTTCTGTGCTTTACGTTTGTCCACCTGCCTCCCAGCTGGATTTCCCAAACTTGCCCACTGCCTAGCATTGTGGCTAGGAGTCTAAGCACTGGCGTGAGCCTGCCTGTGGTTGAATTTTAACTACCACTAATTAGTGGTGCGATCTTTGTCAAGGTCACCTCTGTGCCTCAATGTCCCATTCTTAAAATGAGGATCATAATAAGAGTGCTAACCCAAGAATCAAACGAGACAGTCTGTGTAGTATTTACCCCAATGTTTGGCACATAGAAATACTCAATCAACGTTGCCTGTTAGCAAAACAATAAGCTCCTAGAGCTTTGAAAACACCACTTTTTCCTTTTAGGGCACATTGCCAAAGTTAACCTGACACAGAGCCAGACAATAAGTAATTATTGATAAATAGATTTATGCACTTGGGTGGATTGTCCAGGGAAGGAGGAATGATGGGGGAAGGGAGGCTCCCAAATTCTGCAAGTATTGTTATACCCAGGTTTTGGTTCGGTTTGGCTTTCCAAATAAATCATTTAAATGCTATAGAGTTTAAATCAGTCGTTTCAGGACCTGTGACGTTTGTTGGGCAGTAAGGGGCATCAACGGTCAAAGCTCTGGCTGTTGGTGCACCAGTCAGTCACAATGAGGCTGCTTGACCTGGAACACGGTGTCCCGTCCTGAGATTAAAGGCCTCTGGAATAGGATTACGGGAGGAAGCGCCTTAGCGGCGGCTTTGTGCGGAGGCTGCCTGGAACCCGTCCATTGAGTGATGCCGCCATCTAGTGGCCGCACGGGGAACGGCGCTGGGCAGAGCCGTTTCATTTGATGCAGGGGAGGGAACCACAGAATTGCAGTTCTTTCTTTAGAAACTGTGGGTGAGACTCGGAATGAAGGACGAATAAGCGGGAAACATAGCAAAGGGAAGGAGGGAAAACACCTCAGCCCAGTTTGGGGAGGTAAAGGGCACCAGGGATGCTTGTGCCCACTGAGAACAACCTTGTGGGTATCAGAGGACAAGTCCCTCCCCCACTTCAATACCAATTAAACTTTGATTTTTTTCCTCATTATGATTTTCACTTTCCAACACTCTGTGCTCACCCGTTATCCTGAACAGAGCCTGCTTCACCCTCTCATTTCCCGTCTTTTGTGTTAGGAATTCAGGGCTGGAAAAATTGAGCCGAGTCATTCCATCTGGCTTCTACCCCGGGAACAGCGGATCTCCGCGTCGCCCAGGACCTGAGCTGAGCCACACCCGCCGCACTCACCACGTGACGGCCGCAGGTAAGGGCCGGCTGCCGGCCGGGGCGGCCCAGACGCCAGCGGGAAGAGGCCGCGGTGCACTTGGGTTCCCTAGCTTTCTCTGGAATGTCATTCGGGTCACTGCATCAGAGAGAGCTGACGTTCTCTTTGTAAAACTGAAGCGGGCAATGTTAATGAAGCCGTTTTTTTCCTTCTCACAAACTATGTCTGTCCACCTATGACCAATGGATTGATTATAGATCATTGTATTAACTCATCAAAGAGCTTTAGATGGCAGTGGGGGGACTGAAGGGAAGATACTGATGCTTCAGACTGAAGTGTCTATGCGGTGTGTCCTTACGTGGTCAGCACGCAGGACAGCGTCTAGGAGCTGGATAAAGTCTAGAACACAGTGATGGGAAGTATAGATCTCGGAGTCTGGCATTCCACTCTGCCACTACCAGCTGTTTTACTTTGGGTAAATTGTTTACCTTACTCTAAAGCCTCAGTTTCTCCTTTTCTAAAATGGGCATAATTAAACATACCTTTCAAGATTATTCTAAAGATCAAATGAAATACAGGGAAGCCTCTTATCTGAGAGATTGAGACTGGATTTTAGAGAGCTTATGGAAGAAGCTGGTTAAAGTGGAGAATCACAGAAGATGATACATAGCTCAAATATTTTACTTTAAAATATAGAACTTCCCACTCTTTAATGTAGGGTCACGGCCTTTTCTTTGAACGTGGATCCTCTAGTTGGAGTTTTTTTTTTTTTTTATGCAAGTCTTTCTTGCATAAGCCACACACGTAATACTTTATCTCTGACTTCTAGTTTTGGTTTCTTTCAATGTAGTGAGACATCCTGGAAGACACAAGTAAAATCACTTTCTGCACAATCATTCCAATTCCAGTAAATCTTTTCAGATTATGAAGACTATTTCCAAACCTCTCCTGTCCACATGAATTCTAACTGGATAGCAGTTTTCTGGCGGCTTCCCCTTGGTGAATCCTTCCAAAATATTCAATTTCACTTTTCCAGAGACAACTTCCTTTCTTTGTATACTCCTATTTCATCAGTTTTTTATGGTATTTAAATTTCACAGTTACGGTAACAAGTAGAGCTGTCGTAAGCTGATTCTTGGTGAGCGTGTGAGGACGGTTGGAGCAGTAGTTGGGACTGGGTGCTATCAGCCAGTGCATTGGTTGGTACGGTTCACCGAGGGCCTGCAGAATATGGTTAACCTGGCAAGTTGGTTAAGCAGAGGTCAGCTAAAACAGTGTATATAAAGTGCTAAATTTAGCGCCTAGCATGCAGGGAGTATCCAGTAATGGTAGCTATTAATATTATTATTATCATTAGTAAGTTCAGTGTTGGAAGAATTGTTAGAAATTGAAGTTTCTTTCCCTTATTTTACAGCTAAGATCAACGTGTTTTGTAATGTTGGCCTTCATAATAAAGCTTTCGGTTTCAATAAGTAAAAGGATTATTGACTATAAACCTAATATTTTGAGTCAGAGGGATTTAAATTTGCAAAGGCATCTGGGAGTCGGCATAAAGCCCAAAACTCATCTAAGTCCCCCCACACCCACGTCTGCGGTAGAAGCACGTCGGGGTGAGGAAGACAAACAGCAGGGTTGCGGTGATGGTGAAACCTGGGGACAGGAAGGGCTGTCCCCCAGGGGAAGGACGTCCCAGAGGGAGAGGAAGTCATGGAAGAAACTACACGGGGATGAATGAAGCTACGAGCAGAGCCTTGCCTGTGGCTCAAGGTGTGCGGGTGGCCTTCGGACTCAGTCATGCTAGACGAGGCACCCGGGATGACCGGAGCACCCCCAGAAAAACCAAGCTCTCATGGCGAAGGATAGCTGTTTGGGGGCCAATGGGCTTGTAGGTGGAGTTAAGGCACCTAAGAAATCTTAGAATCCATATACGCTGTTTCTCCGTAGTTTGTTTAAACCTTCCTCTTGGAGATCCCTTATGACAACAGATGGAAATGATCCTTTTGTTTGACTGGGTTGGGCCTAAAGGACTTAATTTGTCGGAAAGGAGGGAAGGGAGACCCGGGCAGCAGGGCAGGTGGGTGGAGGGAAGCCTTTAAGCAGCGGCAAGCCCAAGAGACACAAAGCTCGAGGTGAGGGGCTCTGCAACCCCGAATTCACTTTTACTTTTGTTTTTTAAGCAAACTTTTAATTTAAGAATAGTTCCCGAGAGGAGTGTACAAATCATAGCCTGTACAGCTCGATGCGATTTTAATTTTATTTTGCAAGAGAAATTCAATGTGCTTCACAAACCTATGCCCTCATCCCCCATTGTCTGCAAAGACACTGATGCTTTGACCTCTTGTGCCATCTGGCCCCCCGTTCCTCTCAAATCCAGGATCTCTCCCACCTGATGGCCTCAGGTGAGTGGAGGAGGCCACTCCGGAGTTAATTGATTTCCTCTGGGGTGTCCTGGAGGCCCTCCAGCCGCGTGTCTGTGCTGGCATCAGGCATTCTGTAGCAAGGTGGCAGTGCTCTGGCCCCAAGCTCCCTGAGATTCTGCTCCCATCATGATGGGGGAGGCCTGGGGCTTCTAACGAGCTCTCCAGGGGATTCTGATGTAAAAGGCCCAGCCCGCCTGGTGAGAAATGCTTCACTTTTCCTGCTCCAGAGATGGAGATGAGCTCTGACAACCTGAGACTGAGCTAGATCACAGTTTTTATCCTGTGATGGGGAGGCGGGAGGCGGAGCCTTTTTCTAACCACACGCTGAATCCTCCACGCAGGGCACTCAACCCTCATTTGCTTTGCTCTGCTTCAGAGCCTTTCATGACCTTAAACTCTAGACATGCCTATTAAGAAGTGACAAGGCTGGATGCTTGGCTTCTGAGGCCTGGGGAAGCGGCCTTGGGTGGCTAAAGCCCTCAGCTGCGGCGCTAAGGCCCGCTTTCCTCCCTATAAAGAGAAGCTTCAGGCGTGATTTTCTTTGGCCAAGAGAGACCCCAGCTGTTTTTTACTGAGGCCTGTGCCCTCTTTCATGAGAGACCCTCAGCTCGAGGGATCTTTGCTTTGTGTAAGCTTCCTGTACCCACTGTCAGGTAACCGTGAGCTGTGACCCAGCACATTCACCCTGAGGAGAGGCAGGTCCCCTTGATACAGAAGGTTGTGTCCAGAAATCCCCTGAAAGAAACAATCAAGCATGCTTTTGTTTTTGTTTTTGTTTTGCCTCAGTGTGACTTTTTAAATCCCTTCATTCTGGAGAGGCATGACCTAGTGATGCTGTGATTTCTTTCTCCTAGCGCGCTGCTTCTCAAAGTGTGGTCCCCAGACCAGGCGCATCCCAGCATCACCTGGGAGCTTGTTGTAATTGCAGATTACTGGGTCCTCCTTCATATGTAAGAATCAGAAACCCCAGGGGTTGGGTCTGGGAATTTGTGTTTTAACAAGTCCTCCAGGTGATTCTGATGCACATTTTGGTGTGAAAACCACTGGCTTCCTGGAAAGCTCATGGGAATGCCTTTTACTCAAACAAAGAAAATCTTGCTCATTGGTGGAAGGTGCAGTTTTCTGGGGGTTTTTTTGGGGGGGGTTGGTCCCTCATTGTAGTGAGGGGAGGTCTGCTGGCCGGAAATGAAGAAGAGAGACTGGGGGTAAAGGTGTGAAGAGGTGTTTCCATGGATCTCTTGAGTATCTTCTGACCGAGAGAGCATTACCAAAACCAGCTGGGGAGGGGAGGGGACGACGTGGTGGAGAAACCAAATCGCCATGTACCTCCGATCAGAGAGGCAAATGTCCCAAAGCACAGCTGTTAAACAGGTCTGGGTTCTGCCAGCCCCCTGCTTTTAAATAAGTTCGAAACTCAAGTCTAATCAGTAGCGTGGCCACCTTATCCTGGTTTACCCGACTTTCCTGGTCTTAGAACTGAAAGGCCCATGTCCCAGGAAACTCCTCAGGGCCAAGCTCCAATGTGTATTTTTTTGCACACCACCAATCGATTCTCCAATTCTCAGTGGATGCTAACTGGGCGTCATTCAATTCAGTTCAGTTCAGTTCAGTTCAGTTCAGTTCAGACACTGTCCTCTCAGAGACAGAGTCAGATCCCACGGGTTAAGGGCTCAATTGTACAAGACAGTCCCTCCCTCTCCTCATACTTTAGAGGCCAATTCCAAGTCCAATTTGTCATCTGTGCTTGTGAGCAACCAGCTATAGATTGGAGGTTCCCACACCTCCCCCCTTGGGTTCCATTAATTTGCTAGAGCAGCTCGTAAAACTCAGAGAAAACATTTTACTTACTGAATCACTAGTTTGGTATAAACGGCTGGAACTCAGGAACAGCCAGATGGAAGAGATAAACAGGGTAAGGCCTGGGGAACGGGTGGGGCGCCTCTGCACCCTCTCCGAGTACACAACTCTCCCCAAATCTCCACCTGGTCACCAGTCCGGAAGCTCTCCATCCTTCCGGGTTTTTGTGGTGGCTTTATTGCCTAAGCATGATTGATTAAGTCATTTGCCGCTGGTTACTGGACTCGATCTCTAGCCCCTTCTCTTTTCCTGTACAGAAGGGGCTGAAACTGAAAGCTCTAACCCTCCAACCACGGGACTGGTTCCCCTGGCAACCAGCCCCTCACCCTCAGGTGACCTAAATTCAGCTCATTAACATGACAGAAGATGCCCTTATGGCTCTAATCGCTTAGAAAATTCCAAGGGATTTAGGAGCTCTGTGCCAGGAATGGGGACCAAGACCAAACGTATATGTTTTATTATAAATCACAGTATCACGGGGGCAAACCAAGAGGATTGGTTACCAGTCACCCTGTTCAGTGCCTGCCCATTAGAATTACTTGTTGAGTTTTAAAAATTACTGATGCCCAGGCCCACCTTCGGAGGTGATGATAGACTTGGTCTGGCGTGTAGACAGGGCATTAAAATGTCAAGGGTCCTCGGGTGAGTCTAATGCACCTAGGGTTGAGAACCACTGCAGCTACTTGTCTGTCATTTCTCCTACTAAAAAAAATTTTAAACCAAAACAAAGTTCGACGGCTCTGATGAGGTCGGACCCCTACCACAAATCA